ATGTTTTTCAACAGGCTGCAATTCTTTTTCTGCTTCTGAAGTTAATGCTCTTGGACTATTCAAAAAATTTTCCTTGTAAAAATAGAAAACAAATTTTGTAATTTATATGTTAGAATACCTAAAGAAGGTTACAACCAATTAATAACTCCTAATAACTTTTGAAAATCATTTAAAGTTTTTAAGGACTCTCTTCTCAAATAAGTGTTTTGAAGAATTACTTGTCGTGTGACCAAGTATCCTGAAGATTTAACCATATACTCTTTTTGTATTTTTTCAGGAGCAATTATTAATTCCAATGGTTTTAAAATATTGAAGATCTTTCTGTTTGTTTGTTTGTTTGTTTTTGTTTGTTTGTTTTTCGAGACAAGGTTTCTCTGTGTAGCCCTGGCTGTCCTGGAACTCACTCTGTAGACTAGGCTTGCCTCGAACTCAGAAATCCACTTGCCTCTGCCTCCCAAGTGCCGGGATTAAAGGTGTGCGCCATCACTGCCCAGTGTGGAAGATCTTTCAATATATGTTCTAATTCATTAACTTTCGGTCCTACAAAAAGAATATCATCTGCATGTTGTGCAATATAAATATGTGGCCATTGTTGTCTTATTGGTTTTAAAGCTCCATTATCAGATAATTGACACATAGTAGGAGAATTCATCATTCCTTGAGGTAACACTTTCCACTGATATCATTGATGAGGACCTTTATGATTCAGTTGAGGAATCGAAAAAGCAAAGTGGAGCCGATCTGATTTATGAACAGGAATAGTAAAAAAACAATCTTGCAAATCTATAATTATAACAGACCATTCCTTAGGTAACATAACAGGGGTAGGAATCCTTGGTTGTATTGCTCCCAATGGATACATTCTTGAATTTACTCCTCGAAGATCTGTCAAAAGTCTCCACTTACCTGATTTTTTCTTTATAACAAAGATTTGTGAATTCAAAGGGGAGGTGGAAAATTCTATATGACATTTCCCCCACCCAGAAATCCCCTATCTCATGCCTCCTCCTTCTACTTCTATGAGGATGTGCCCCTACCAACCAACCTACTCCCACCTCCCCGACCTTGAATTCACCCACACTGGGGCATCCAGCCTTCATGGGACCAAGGACCTCCACTCTCACCTATGCCTGACAAGGCCATCCTCCACTACATATAGATATGGAGCCTGGGACCCTCCCTATGTGCTCCCAGGCTGGTAGTTAAGACCCTGGGAGCTCTGGTTGGTTGGTATTGTTGCCCTTCCCTTCAGCTCCTTCAGTCTTCTCTCTAACCCTTCACTGGGAACCCCGTGATGAGTTAGCTGTGAGCATCTACCTCTGTATGTCAGGCTCTGGCAGACCTCTCAGGAGACAGCTATATCAGGCTCCTGTCTGCATGCATTTCCTAACATCCACAATAGTGTCTGCCTTTGGTGACTGCACATGGGATGGATCCCCAGGTGGGACAGTCTCCAGAGGGCCCCTCCTTCAGTCTCTGCTCCACACTTTGTCTCCATATTTGCTCCTGTGAGTATTTTGTTACTCCTTCTAAGAAGGACCAAAGCTCCCCACTTTCTCTTCTATTAGTTTCATTGTATTTGGTTTTATGTGGAGGACCTTGATCCACTTGGACTGGAGCTTTGTATAAGGAGATAAGAATGGGTCAATTTTCATTCTTCTACATTGGTGATCTCCAGCTGAACCAACACCATTTGTTGAAAGTGCTTTTTTATCTTAAAGCTTACCTGAGGGTATGCCCTAAGTTGAGCCTGACACTGAGTAACATAGACATCAGACAGCATTCTGGTGGTATTCAGAGGAAAAACTTGATCATATCATAGGGTCCTGTGGGCATAAAAACTTGATCCAAAGTTAACTTGTTTTTATTAAACTGGCAGTTGCCACCATAGCTCTCACACAGGTAGGACATCCTGTGGCTATCGGGTCTAATTATTTGGACAGTTATATACAGGGAGTTTTTATGACCCCAAAGTTTGGGTTTGTTGTTTGTTTAATGGACAAAAAGAAAAGGTTTTATGAGTGAAGCCAGAGTCAGAGTTGAAAGCCTTAGATAAAATTAGTTTAGTGTCAGACCAGATTAGAGTATAATTGACCACTTTTTTGCTGGTGTATAGAGGCCTTGCTATTTCTACAAACTCTGGTATCCAGAGGCATCAGTACCACACTGCACCTAGGAACTCTTGAACCCATCTTTGAGGTTGGCATTTGAAGGATGGCAGCAATTCTTCCCTGAGACAGGCTCCTTTTGCCTCCCTTTATAGTTGGTAGCCAAGAGATATTCATCTATAAATTTGGGCTTTCCTAGAGAATATTCGGTAGACTTGTTACTCTTCCAGTATTCTCACATTGACCCTTCTATTATAAGTTTTCCCTGGGATACCTCTGATGGTAGAGAATAAACTCAGCATTTAGTGTCTTTAAATCCTGGGGACACCTGAACCCTGTATGTTGTCTGCTGTAACATCCCACTGGGTCCCACCATTTCAAAGCAAAGATGGGTTGACTCACCTCTGTCAATGGGAGGCTAAAGAACAAATCTTTCAGACACAAGACAGTGTGTACCTGTTTCTCTGGAAGAATCAGATTCATGAAAATCAGAGGTCCCAGGTTTCTTCATATGCAGAAGAGTTGAATTCCAAGTCTTTTTTGCAGCTGTCTTTAATCATTTTCAAAAGAACCTAGCTAAAACTGTTTACAGTCACTTTGGTCTGTGTTGGATAGAGGGGAAAATCCATTCTATCCAAGCTGTGTTGTTTGGCAGCAATCCCTCTGTCCAGCCCAGTGGAGATTGTACATTTTGTTTGCATTGGAAGATTTTGTGGTTGATGTTTCTTTTTCTCAATATATGGGTAATTTGTTAAAATAAAAATTTTCTTTTCTTTTGGGCTCACAAAGGGGGAGCTTTTTTTGTTCGCTAGGACATCTTAGAACAGGCATGGAGAAAGGGTAATGCTCACCTTGGAGAACTGTTTTCTCTTTTCCCTATGTGCATTCCTCTCAGACATCAGGAGACAATTGATAGGAGGTCCTCCTCATGATTATGAGCAGAAGTCAACCAATAAAACAAATGATGGCTCCTGATCCTGGATCAGGAAAGGTGGAAGTTTGTTTGCTTGTTTATTTTTCTGGATGACTTTTCAGACTCAATGATTCAGGTCTCCCAAAGGAGGGGGACACAGGTCTTAAAGCTGAGTAAGGAGATGATCTCAAACCAGAGAAAGCCACAAAACTGAAAACAAAACTGACCAAAATGCATAAAAGGACAGGCAGAAAATATAGAATAAAAATAACCAGAGGTGGCCACTTTTGTTGGTATAAATATGCTTGGCCCATAGGGAGTATGGCCTTGTTGGAGGAACTGTGGGAGTGGGCTTTGAGACCCTAATACCAGCTGCCTGGAAAGCAGTCCCTCCTGGTTACATTGAATCAAGCCATAAAACTCACAGCTTCTTCTCCAGCAATGTCTTCCTGTGTGCTGCTGTCCTTCCTGCAATGATGATAATGGACTAAACTGAAACTGTAAGCTAGCCTCAATTAAGAGTTTGCCTTTATAAGAGTTGCCTTGGTCATAGTGTCTCTTCATACCAATGGAAGCCATAAGACACCACCACACATTCATACACCTGGAGAGACAGAGATCCGGTAATGTGTTCATGAAATCTGGACACTGGGTCAGCAGCCATGTGTAATCTCTTCTATATGTCCAAAAAGAAGTTGTCTTAATAATCCTTAGCTCAGAGGGGACAGACCAGGAGAATTTCTAAAGTATTTCCCTTTGGGGTGGAATTTTTAAGCACCTCTAAGACATTAGGGAACCCTGAACAAAGGGAGCCCTTGGGAGTTCAACATCTAAGTATATCCATCATTTAGAGTCCGCTGACCACTGAACTCTACCCCACTCCAAGGATCTCTGAGAATCTGGATGCCTAAAGGAATCTGGGTTTGAGGATCTTAGTGGAACCTCAAGAAATATGGGGAATTTATAACAAACTGATCAGACAGGTTTAAGCCAGTGAAAAATCTTTATGAGCCTGCCTAGGACTATACAGTGTGTTCAGATTCCCAATATAGCCTTGGAACCTTTCTCAGGGTGAGCTTTTAAGCACAAAATTTTGTTTTGGATTGTCATATGACACTTAACAGGACAGTTAGTCAAAAGGAGAATTACCAAAGCAAAAATCCAAGGTTACTACACTAAGAGACTTTCCCTTACCTATAGACATTGATGTATTAAGGCTTTGTTTTAGTTTTGAAAAGGGTAAAGTCTACAAAGTTTTACAGTCTGTTAAGTACTTCCATCATTGAGCCAAGTGTGTAAAACTTATGAGGCCTGTTATGTCTGGGATTTTATTACAGAGGGAGTTGCTATGGACAACCATTGTGACACAGGGTTTGACATTTTATACTTTGAATGCTACTCAAGGATTATATATATGGTTTATAGAAATGTTTTTGGTGCTGCTTGAACTTAATGTTATATAGACCATTTGCTTTTAATGTCTTTTGTTAAGGAAGTATTATTCTGCTGCACTTAGTTATGAGAAACAAGGATGAACCTTAAATTTTGAGGTTCAGCAACAATAACTTCATCTTTTCCAGTGGGGGAACAGATAGGCCTGAGCTACTGGACACTTTACTGTGTTCTTATGTTCTTTTTTATGTTTTTTTGAGACAGGGTTTCTCTGTAGTCCTGGCTGTCATGGAACTCACTCTGTAGACCAGGCTGGCCTTGAACTCAGAAATCCGCCTGCCTCTTGCCTCTGTCTGCCAAGTGCTGGGATAAAAGGCATGTGCCACCACCTCCCAGCTTTTTTTTTCTTTTTTATGTTCTTATGTTTGATGACAGAAAAATTTAACTAATTTTTCACTTTTATTATTATTACTCTCTTCTCTTTTGAATCTAGCTTTTGCATATCACCAACTATTGAAACAGATTCTAAAGTCACAAGACAGACACTGAATTGACATATTTGAAACTTTCTCCGGATTCTTTCCACAATGGCTTCACATTTCAGAGAAACCTTTCATCCTGAGTCACTAACAAATGCCCTTCATTTAGATAATCAAGAGTTTATTCCAAACCAGCATTCTACTGTGCAGTTTGAAGAAAACATCTATACCTCACCAAGTGCTCAACTCAACTTTCCACCAAATGGCAATGGCTCCTTGGCAAAGCAGGAGCTGCAAATACTCTGGGACATGTTTACCTCTTGGTTGCAGCCTGAAAAGCAGAGCAAGGAGCAGATGATTTCTCAACTGGTCTTAGAGCAGTTTCTCCTCACTGGGCACTGTAAGGACAAGTTTGCCTTGAAAGAGCACTGGGAATCAAGTGGCAGAAACATGGGAAGATTCATGGAAGGGCTGACTGATGAGTGCTTGAAGCCTCCTACTATGGTGAGTACCTGGGATAAGAGATGAGCCATTTGGATTTGGGAAAAAGTAGGAATGTCTGGTAGTTTTTCTTATTAGTGGGATTGTACTCACTCCACCAAAAGCCTTGCAAGAAAGAATTTGCACTGCCCTGAATTAGCAAAAATAAAACAGAAAGGGTCATCAATTGTTTGAAGATCCTTAAATGTAGTATATTAACATGACAGAAAGACTACAGAATTGACAATTGGACATTAAGGGTTTAGAGGAAATTCCTTGGGTCTGGGATATGGCTGAGTCATAGCAGTACTTAAATTACAATCATGAAGACTAATCTGAAACCTCAGCACACACCTAAATATATGGCTGACAGTATTAGATCAGATCTCAGGACCCGAGAGGGTGAATCTGGGAATTAAAGTTGCTACATGGCTTTCCAAATAGTCTACTACATTATAGTAGGATACTTTCCCACAAAACCTGAGGTGACAGAATGATGGAGTATGTTTTCTGATGTTGAAATATGGCTCTCACATTCATATTTAATACTCACACGCCCACGAGAAATGTCTTGATCAATACTGGTGCTTGATTGCATAGCTTCAAAACTGGAGAAATTTAATATAGATGTAATTACATTGTAGATTCTTTTAATGTTTAGATGCGAATAATAATTCTCAGTCATTCACAGACATTTCTGAACATCACTGTACAAATAAATAACTTATTAGCATTTAGACTTTTAATTTACCTTTTTGTTGGTTTGTTTGTATAGTTGATTAGTCAGGTTTCTGCTTGTTTGTTTGTCTTTTCATGTGTGACATCATTTCATTGTGTAGTAGTGGCTAGCTGGCAACTCAAGGAAATTATACTCTCTCTGCTTTCAAGGTGCTGAATTATATGTGTTGACTACTACACCCTTCTGTGTATTTGAATTTTTAAGTCTTTAAACAAGTCATTTTCACTCCTTTGAGCTTTAAGTTGAAAATTTTGTGATTGAAACCGAAATCTGAGTAAACTACTGCCATAATGTCCACTCATGTTCCAAAGAGGAGAGGCAGTGTGCATCTTGTGGAGACAAATGTTTTTTGTTGGACTTGTTTCAGTCAGTTGTGAGTTGTATTATTCACTTAATGATAAAGAAATGAGCTTCCTTTGTACTCCTCAAATTTAAAGCTATAATGTTGAAGTCACCTTTAGTTAAGGGTGGTTGTCTAGGCTAGTATTCAGTGACATGAACAAAGGATTGTAGGTGTTAAAAATGAAGGCCATTCACATAGCAAAGTGAAATTACAGTTAGATAGGGAAGGACAAGTGATGACTGGCTGCACGTAGGGGATGGGAAAGTCTCAACGACCTGAGAGTGAAAATGGCCAACATCATGGGATGCAAGGCAATTGCCACTCAGAAGCCGGAGCACCAATATGGTAGCTATTTCAGAATTAAAGTAAAGATCCTGAAGATTCTAGACACAAAATACCAATTATTGATAATGGGCTCGATGATAACGTATGAGATTTCAGCAGAATAGGACTCAACAAAGTGAAAGAACTTGAAGAGGCCAAAAGTTCTGTGTCCAAACTAAAGGCTATGTAGATCTTGGAGGCAGGGGAAGGAGTGATAACAATGAACTACAAAATGAGGAAACCTAAAACATACCAGCCATAGAGACATTTTATTACAAACACAAACTTTATCAAAGCAGACATCTTCCTTCAATGGATAAGAGGGAAGACCTCAGGGGATTCTGTGTTTGACATTTTATGGGCTCCTTTATGCCCTCCAAGTCTCCAGACTCATTTTTGCTTTTTCCTGCCCACTGTTGGTTGCCTTTCCCTAAGCCAGCCATTTTGTAGCAGATACAATATCTTGGGTGGAAGATAAGATAATGCCTTCAAGAAGGAGCAACCTTTTTTAAAGGGGATATCCTATATGCAAATTGGCCAGACTTTATCTGATCTTCTTTTAATGTATTGAATTGTTGAAGAAAATATTGTGGCCAAAGTTCATAGGAAACTAACATTTTGTTTCCCTCTGTAGAGTGACACAATATTTGCAGACACAGCATGGATAGTGACTTTACAGAACAGAATTTGTGATGTCAGACCAATACCACTAGATATGAGGACTACACAAATGAGCTAACTCATACATAGGCCAGTGATCCTGTGCAAGCCAAATGAGGGCAGGTTTTCTGTCATCCACAGATTCATCAACAATGATCACTTGGCTTTGTTTACAGGTCCTTGTCTATATGCAGGGGCAGGAAGCCCTCTGTTCTGAGCACATGTCCTTAAAAGAAGTCATCAAATATTTGAAACAACAGCAAGCATCACTAATGCCAACACAAGAGAAACCAAAGACACACTTGCAGAGACCCCAAGACGTGTTCTTGGAAACAGGTGAGTTTGGAAGCTGGTGAGAAGATGGGTGTTATGTGGGAATCCCTTCTGAGGTACAGTTTCATAGACTTTCCTTTTTTCACAGGAAATAAGAACAGTGAAGATGGCTCCAATAGTCCCTGGAATCCTAGTGAAAGGAATAGTGTTGTTAATGGTCCTGGAAATGACATGGGTCCTCTTCTCATTATACAAACAGATCAATATTCTGAACCTGAAGATAGAGCTGTTTCTTATTCAATCCCCCAGAGTGTCAGAAAGACAAGTGAAGGCACTTTCAGGTACCCAGTAGAGTCCCCGAGGGCACATTACTCTGAAGATGTCCCTATGGAGGTAAATCCAGGATTATTCTTCAAGCTAGACCAGAGTAAAGACAACGAAGATGGCTTCAATGCTTTCTGGAATGCTAGCCAAATAAATTGTGGTGTTAGCAGTTCTGCAAATGAGATAGATTCTCTTCTTACCCAGACAGAGGAGTATCCTGATCCTGAAAAGCGGTGTTTCTTATGGAGACATTGACTGTTTTATAAGAACTCCACTAGATGCTAGCAGGGCTTCCATCTCAGTGCCTCATCTGCACATGAAGTAACATGTAGCTTCTAACTAAACACCATTTATTCAGTGAAAGATGTAACATGTATTGCCAGAAACCATCTAAGAAAAGATATTAATAACAGGAATGCTTTCTAAATGTAATTTTAACAGCCTTGCCTAAAAGAGGCAAAACCATCATAGATTTACAGTCCATGGTGGAACCATCTCAGAAAAATATTTACTAGTTCTTAGCTTCTTTTCAATGGCTCCCAGCAATATAAATACTGAATTATTATCTTCTGTCTGTTGTCCCAGTCTACTGCCAATTGAGGAGGAAGAAGATGAGTCATTTGACAGTCCTGACAAATCCCTAATGCCTAAAAATGTAGCTTCCTGATTAAATAAACAAATGTCACTGTCACATGACTCATATTTTGTGTGACTAGTGATTATTTTGTGTGTGTAGGGTGCATAATTCTGTGAGTGTTGGTTTTTTCCCTTAGTTCCACAGCATAAGTGGACAGTAGAGTTCTTAGCAGTCAGTTCTTGAGATTTGCTTTGTTGGAGACAAGGTACTTGTATTGGTAACATTATAGACCAGTCTATGTGATCCTAGATATTCCAAACTTTGTCCAGCTCCATTCTGTATAAGTTTATTACAGTGGCCTACCACTTCCTCTTTCTTTATTCTACCCAGTTGTGGTTTCAAACCTTGGAGACAAGATACTTGTATTGGTAACATTATAGACCAGTCTATGTGATCCTAAATATTCCAAACTTTGTCCAGCTCCATTCTGTATAAGTGGCCTACCACTTGCTTTTTCTTTATTCTACCCAGTTGTGGTTTCAAACCCAAGTCTTAGTTTTTCATGGTAAGTTCAGTGCCCTCTCACCCATTTCCCTTCCTGTGAATCTTCACTCATTACAGATCAAGAATAACCCCCCGACCTGAATAGATGAAGTTGCAAAGGAAAATTTTAAAAAATCAGTTTCTCAGTGTTTAACATGAGCCTCCCCTTGACAATCTTCATAGTGCTATTTAAAACACATCTTAGAAACATAGGGAGTATCAGTGATTCATGTGATGTTAGCTTCTTCACATGAGGACAAATAGACTACAAAGGTAAGTGTTTTCCATAATTAAACTCCAGAATCTACAGGGGAGAAAGGAAAATGGAATAAGTGTTAGACTGAGATATTCTATGCAGATTTGTAGGCAGCAGGCATAGGCTGATTGAGTTCCTGGGATCCGTGTGTGTTGGTGATTTTCCTGAGGAAGCTGAGCTAAGTTCCCATACCTTGGAAAAATGTTGAGGATAAATTAAGACTTTCCTCTGATGTACCTGATAAGGCCTTTGAGCAGGCAACCTAGAGGCTTCAGTTTATGAAAATACAGAATTTCCTTAGCTGGCATGAATAACAACATGTCATGCATTTTCCACTGAAATTTTACTATTGGCATATCTCGTGGTGGACCCAGTCCTCAGAATTCCTAACTTCTTATGCTTTGTTCTCCGGTCTTCCTTTTCCTCTTCAGGTTGGATAATTTAGGTTCTTAAGGTTTTAACATTAAAGACTCCTGGATTGAAGTTTTGGGGTACTTTAAGCCCTTTTAGTCTTTTGAGATTCTAGCCTCTGGAGGATTACAGAATTTTGGATTCAGTTCAGTGCTGTTTCCAATTAAAGTCCTATGCTCAGGTTGAGGGTTAAGACCTGTACAGACATGCATCAGAGGGCAGAATTCACCTGATAACAATATGATATCCTCATGTCTTGGAAAAGTCCTGCAATTTCTGCACTACGTGTGGGCAGAAACCCTGATGATCCTAAGAACATTTAAAGGGATACAAATTTATAAAACTTCATGAAGGCAGGTCACATTGGAATTTCTTTGAAACATATTAGACATCTCAGTATTTCCATACTGATTCCACAAACAGACTCAGAAGGAAGGCTCATTCCAACATTCGGTAAGAAAAATGTTAATTCTGAGACCTGAAGTATCATATGTGTTAAAATTCCATCGGACCTCACAGAGTAAAGTATTATTTATAGCTCTAAGACATTGTTTATTGCTTCTCATATTATGACACTGTAATTCTTCATGAATCATCACTGGTCTCAAAAGGTTGTATAAACCTGAACTACTGAAAAGAAGAAAAAAATAAGAGAAAAAAATGAAGAAATAGATGTGACATAAAATAAATAAGACATAAGTTTGTTGTACACAATTATGAAAGTATAACAGTGCAATCTCCTATGTACAATTAATATGCTCTTTCAAATAAAATATATTTAAAACTCTTCAGAACAATGCTCCATTTGGTTCATTTTACTCAGATGTTGATCTCCAAAACTCTAGCTCCTACATCCATGTTCTGTAACACACTCTTGTAGCAGGAAGTATTAAAAAAGATGGCCAACAGGCTTCCCTGCTTGGCCACCATCCAAGTTCCCACTCTATACCCAGCACTGGCTGGCCATCTCAGTCCCGCCAGCCCTGGGCCCTGAAAAGTTGACATGGTTGCTGCCTCTGCCTCTGCCTCTGCCTCTGTCCAACTACCAGGCCTCCCCAACTCTGCTGCCTCTATAGAGCTAGGCCTAGCCCCATGCAATGACTGCCAACCTCGTGGTTAGACATCACAATACCCAGTAACCCGGTAAAATCAAAACTCTTAATGCTTATAGATAACCAAACAGATTTATATATCAGCAAATACTCAAATCACAAGACGGCCACACAATTATTGGTTATTCCAATTAACCTAATCTTATGATATCTACCTATGGCTAGTTAAAGTCACTCGAGCTCACATCTGCCTCCATCTTTGGCTCTCCCCCCACCCCCCACGTCTCCCTCTCTCTGCAACTCTTAGCTCCACCTCCCTTTTTCCTGTCCAGTAACAGGCCTCCTGCTGTAACTAGATTTAGACAGGGAAATTCCTGCCACACATTTTTTCATTCTTTTAAAATTATCTTTAATCTATTTTTATAGTCCAGTCTTTATCCCCCTTCCCTGCAGTCCTCTGACAGTTTCTCATCCAATTTCTTTTCCCCTGTCACCAAAATGATGTCTACACTCTCATCCCATCCCACCCTGCCAGGTCTCCTCTTCACTCTGGGGCTTTAGGTCTCTCAAGGGTTAGGTGCATCTTCTCTCACTGAGGCCAGACTAGACAGTTCTCTGTTATATATGTGTCAGGGGCCTTGTTCCAGCTAGTGTAAGCTGGTTGGTGGCTCAGTATCTGAGAGATCTTGGGGATCTAGGTTAGTTGAGACTGCTGGTCTTCCTTTGGGTTTCCCTCCTTTTTAGCTTCTTCCAGCCTTTTCCAAATTCAATCACAGGGCTCCCTGACTTCAGTACAATGGTTGGATATAAGTATATGCTTCTGTCTCAGTCAGCTGCTTGTTGGGCCTTGTTAGGCTCCTATCTTTAAGCAAACAACAGCATCATTAATATTGTCAGGCCTTAGAGTCTCCCCTTGAGATGGATCCCAATTTGGACCAGTCACTAGACCTTTCCCTCATGCTCTTCTACATTTTGTACCTTCAGTTCTTTTGGACCGGAAAAATTCTGGGTTAGAGTTTTTGAATGGGGGTTGGCAACCCCCTCCCTCCACTTGATGCCCTTTCTACTACAAGTTCCCTCTCCCCACTATTGGACATTTCATCTAAGGTCCCTCCTTTTGAGTCCTGAGAGTCTATCACCTATCAGGTCTCTGATACATTCTAGAGGGTCTCCTTACTTCCCACCTCCAGAGGTTACCTGTTTCCATTCATTCTGTTGGTCCTCGGGGCTTCACATCTGTCCCCCCCAGCCCAATACCTGATCACATTCCCATTCTCACCTTCTCTCCCACCCATATCCCTCTCTCTCTCTTCCTCAACATGATTGCTTTCATCTCCCACTCAAGTAAGATTGAAGTACTCTTACTTGGGCTCTACAGCTTGCTAACCTTCTTGAGTTCTGAGGATTGTATCCTGGGTATTCTATATTTTTTGGCTAATATCCACTTACTAGTGAGTATATACAACGCATACTATATATACCCTTTTGAGTCTGAGTTACCTCACTAGGATATTTTCTAGTTTTATCCATTTGCCTACAAAACTCATGATGTCTTTGTTCTTAACAGCTGAATAATATTCCGTTGTGTAAATGAACCACATTTTGTGTATCCATTCTCCTGCTGTGGTACATCTGAGTTGTTTCCAGCTTCTAGCTATCACAAATCAGGCCGCTATGAACATAGAGGTACACGTGCCCCTGTGGTATGGTGGAGCATCTTTTGGATATATGTCCTAGAGTGGTATAGTGGGGTCTTCAGGTAGATTTATTTCCAGTTTTCTCAGGCCTGTCCCCTTTAGTTAGTTTAGCTAGCGGTTTTTCTATCTTGTTGATTTTCTCAAAGAACAAGCTACGGATTTTGTTGATTCTTTGTAAAGTATCATTTGTTTCTATTTGGTTGATGTGAGCCCTCAGTTTAATTATTTCCTGCCTTCTATTCCCCTTGAGTGTGTTTGATTCTTTTTGTTCTAGGGGTTTCAGGTGTGCTGTTAAGTTGCTAGTGTAGGATCTCTCTTTATGAGGGCACTTAGTGCTATGAATTTTCCTCTTAGCACTGCTTTCATTGTGTCCCATAAGTTTGGGTATGCTGTGTCATCCTTTTCATAGAATTCCAGGAAGTCTTTAAGTCCCAGTCAATTGATTCTGTAACCCTTATTCTCACTGTATCCTGTAGAGGAATTTCCCTTAATTATCTGATTGGCTAATACAGATGACACATAGGCAGTTGCTAGGTGAAAATGAGGAGGTGGGTTTTCCATGCAAGACAGGAAGAGAAGGGAAGGAGGAGGAGTTGGAGAAGACAGTGGACAGAGGAGGACATGGTAAGAGAAGTTGGCAGGAAGATGGAGCAGAAGTGCATGACCTGGAGGAACTGCAAGTAGCAAGGGATTTCAGAGCTGGGGAAGAAACTGATGTA